GACAAAAATCACTGACTATGATGATCCCGGCTAAGAACAGTACGGTATCTCCAAGAACGGTCAAAATTGCAAAACCTCCCACTATACTGCATTCATATTCCTCGACCTCTTGTTCACACTGTTTATGATCTGTAAATATATATATAGTTGATCAGAGTAGTATGGTCCTCATTGCATTATTGTATTTGCTTTTTGTTGGATCAATTATGCTGCTAATGCTCTGAAAGTGATTTGATTTGCGTATTATGATTGCTATTGCAAATCATTTCTCATCTTTATGCATAATTCCTTCACAATGATCGGGAAAATTCAGATCATATTAATGTTTAATAGTCACCATTGAAAACGTTTATTTTGAATTTCAGTCAATAAAAGTCTTTGATTTATTAAGTAAATAATTTCTCCGTCAAACTTTAAATGGTCATACACACAACATTCAGTTTTAACTGATCAAAATATATGAAAAGAAATTCCACAATAAACTTACCATTGGTAGAAAAGTCACAATTTATAGGAAACGTGAGAGTCGTTAATTTGATGACTACCTGTCCGTTATTGTTGACATTGTCAAACGAAACCTTAAATTAAAGTTATATTGAACTTCAATGAAAACTTGATAAAAAAATCTCTTTTAAAGGTTTTTTTTATATAAAAATATCATTACTAGTATTTTTTATCATTTGGCTACTAAAAGCGATGTTCTGCCCTTTTTTAATTCCAGTGAATTGTAAGTGTCTTTTTTCATAATGAGTAAAGATATAGAAAATTCTTTTAAAGAACTAAACTAAAGTCTAAACATTTATGCGATAAGGATTTAATTTGAATTTCTAACATAACTCCACTGAGGCACTTGAAACGGAAACATATGCAAGGTATCATTAACAAAAGATTATAAAAATTAAGACCCACAATATTGTTCGCTGAATTTATTTCTGTAATCATATTTAATTTATTAAAACATGCAAATTTTAAATATATTGTGTCGAACAGTTTTCATTTTGCTTGAATTTTTTTTTGTTACTTCGAGTCATATGATTATTTAAGTAATCAAACACTCCTGAAAGTTGATCTTTTATGTCGTATTATTCTGATCCAATTAGGCACAATACATTGAAATCAAAGGTGAAATCTGACGATTGGGATACCGTTTTTTAGGATTGCCAATTTGCAACAATTAACAATCAACCATTAACAAGGTATGAATGGAAATAATACAATAAAATCAGATTGATTGTTAGGAGTAGCAAAGTTGAATCGTTGTTGTTGTTTTGGGGTTTCCTTTTTCTCTCTGTTTTGTTTGTTTGTTTTGCTAGCCGTTACGTTAATGGAAAGCTTCCGCGTGTGAACGAAACCAAAGTCCCTCTCATCCACAGAGGTGAGCGGCTTGTGATTTAAAATTGAGAATCAATCAGGACAGATTAAGATGCATTCAAAAAAAACTTACGGTTCCATTAATACGGAGGCATCTAGTATTTTGGCTGTCCCAATCAACTCTTATTGAATGTAGTGCAAAGTTGACATCAAGCTTTAGCATCCTAGACAATAAAAAGATTGTCATTGATGATCGTAAAATCGTGTATGAAAAATTTGTTTATTCAGGTTGAACTGAGGGGAAGGTTAAGCTTGGTTGAATAATTCTCGAACCTTCTTCTTGAAAATTACCAGTATTTTTACATGAAATGGTGTAAAGAACGGACAATTACTATCCTCAGCCATTCGAAGGAACAAACTGTTGATTGACTCTTTCTTATCAAAAAAGAACGATTAAATTTTTATAGCCTGTTTAAGTGCTTCTTTCGAATTTAGAGCAATTTTATTGACTGGTGTAAAGAATGGGAAATGTCTATTGCTCAGCCATTCAAAGGCATTTACTATTGACAATCGAGAAATGCATTACTGACATAGCTTTTTTAAGAATGTAATAAAATTCCGAACAATGTCATTGGATTTCTGGTGACCAAGAACGCTAAAGTGCATTTAGTTACTAGCTGAAATTCATTAATAGTCTCTAGGATACAATGATTTGTTTCCATTAGGTATATTTGAAAAAATCAGAAAAGAGAATAAGATAAAAATTAAGTGAACCTATGAAGAACAGTTGAGAGATTCATTCTGTCCAAATCTTTGGTAAGATCGTATTCGTATTCAGTAATGTTCTCTGTGTTTGTAAACTTAGTTAATCCAAAGCTTGGCTCAAAATTGTACCATCCTGGAAAACAATGCATATATACATCTTTCATTTAAGCAAGATCTAAATCTATAAAAACGAAATAAGTATTTCAGCGTTAAATATTATCACCCACATCACCGCAATTTTTACTATCATCATAGATTTTCTTCTTCTTCTTTTTACTCATGTATGGTTTGCTATATAAACCTGTACAAAAGATGTCAGCCGAGTTAATTTAAACGCATGTAGCTGCCATGACATTGACTCCTAGAAAAATGAGTAATAGATTTAAATTGTTGTTTGATAAAATCGTGTTTACATATACATTAATGTTTGGACTTGAATTTGATATCATTTGTTATATTCATATATATTTATAAACAATGTGTAGTTTACAGTTTTGTCCCCCTTGTGGCTGGGGGTGCCTTAAAGGGTTGAGGCTTCAGAACTGCAGCCACTCTTTATCCATGCGTTATCGTAAGAGGCGACTAAATGGGTTCGAAATATTGTAGTGTATGCATGTCTTAGCCCCAGCATTTTTTATGTTCTAAAATGAACTTGGAAAGTTCGCTGTTTGACGCATACACGATGAGCCGAGACAGCATAAACATAGCCATAGCTGAATAAATACAATATTCTGCATTGTGAATATTGCCGAGTCAAAATTAGAAATAAAATGTTAAAAATTGTCTCCACTCTTGATGCCATGATTTAAATGATTCAACAATAGTGTACTTAAGCAAATATTTTGGTAGATCTAGATAAAATATGTTTGCCTACCTCTAACGTTAACTTTTGAGACAGTTCCATTTTGATTTTTTATCAAATCGTAGTAACCAATTCTAATAGTTACTTGATCATCTGGTATTTTTATAAAATGACCATTTGCCTCGGCTTCAATATTGTAAATCTGTAAAATAAAAATCCTAAATTCGTTTAAAATAAATTTGTTATATATAGCATTCCAAATAAATTCTCGTACAAAAACAAAAATCAATTATGATTCATGTTTAACAAACTTTTATTACATAAAAACATGTAGAAGTGCTATAATTGACAGAAATACATTGTATTTCTGCGAGGATTTTGTGAACCTACATGGTAGTCTAACATTGCAAAAAATCCATTTTATAGCTGAATTCAAAACGACTAGATGAATTTGAATTCCCATTAATAATTGTCCTACCCCAATATGCTAGTATACAAAAATAAATATAACTTAGAAAAATTGATGACTTATATTTGAAAAAGGATATTGTTTCGAATGCCCATTAAGGCCCCAATTTTTTAAAGTTCAATACAATTTCCAAAAGTTTCTCACTTATCATAAAGCTTATTCATCCTTTGCTTCTTTTGCGGTTTTTTTACAATTAGTACAGTTATAGTGGTTTTGTATTTTGAAAGGAAGTCGAAATATTATTTTGTTTACAATTTTGATATATTTTTATGATAAATAATTTTACATTCAGCTCTACTTTCTCCAAAAGATGAGCATAAAATATGCAAAAAAGTATAAGACGAATGTTAACCCATTCTAATGAAGACACAAAATAATTTCTGAGGTAAATTGTGCCTATTATAATTAAAAACAACTTTCCTGTGAAACAGTATAATCTATTCTACTCTTAAGATCGTCAATGGTATATGAAGCAAATTGTCCGTGTGCTGGAGGATATGGCAAAGTTTCGAAACCTGGCAAACAGAATACATAACTCAAATAGTTTATATTGATTTAGCAATAAATATCTGACGTTTAACAAAAACCGCTTTATCAATTATGACATTTAAAGAATAACAGAAACAGGTTGTTTGAGCAAATATCATTAAATATTACAAGCTTAAAAATTTTCTTGAAAATAGATGACATGTAATTGTTTACTTGCAATCCAGTCTTTAAGCAATGTATGCTGAAGAGTTATGTATCCGTCTGTGACAGTGAAGGCGAGTATTTCTCGACAGTGACCAATTTTGAATGTCTATTTAAAATAAAAACTAAATAAAAACAACTTAATAACTTAAGATATATCAAAGAAATACAAGCCTGGAACATTTTTAGATATTGATTAATAATAGGGAGTCTATAAATAACATAAATCGTAGTTTTCCAATCAAATCGTTACATTATTATATCTTTGAGATACATTGCCTCTCATCGCTGTGGGTTCAAATCCTGCCAGGGACTTTGTATTCTTTCATGTGCAACAGCTACCAATCTGACATACTTACAGTATAAGCAAATAAAAATGCACGAGTATTATTTTGTGTAAAGAAAGAAATGTAGATAATTAACAGATGATAGAAAATAACACGTGTATTTCATTTCACCTGGCCCCGAGCTTAGAGACATTTGAGATCAGTCTCAAAGATCACACCTTCCTTAACTTTGAGATCAAAATCAGGTAAGTTGACGTTAATAAAAGTTTCGAATAAGAGTTCTGTCTGAGTTTGAGGTAAATAAAAATTGGCTTAAATACTGCACTTATATTCTCGAGTTAGCAACAAACATGGATCCGCGTCGTTCGTAGACGGTATTATGTAAATTAATTCTTTTCAAGGCACATATCTCGAACGATTAAACATCAATCTAACCTTGTAAAAAGATTAAATAATTCGCAGGTATAAATACCTATAGTGGCTGATTTGGTACACTTTTGTCGCAAGCGTCCGCACGACAAAGCGCCAAACGCGTTATCAGACTTTCTTCTTGTCGTCCTGCTACTAATGACGCGTTGTCGTGCGGCGTGTTGTCGCGATGTCACATCGGCGCGTGGCTGATGGATTGGCTATTTGTATATATACAAGTATGTTATTTTGGTTTTTGTATGATATATGCGGATATATTACCTGTCAAGAGTTTATATCACCCGAGCCGTTAGATGTATTTTTTCGTACCTAACGAATGTAAACAAGAGAAAAGTAGTAGTCTGTTGAACGCACTATTTTGTAATTAATATCAAGCTTTCACGAGGTCATATTTGTTTTCAATACTGATGACAATATGTATCATACTCTACTTTGGTAAATATTTATCATTTGACAGTTAAAAAGGGCTTGTAAATCGGAGTTTACACCGCGTAAGATCGAATTTAGTGTGTATATTACCCGTCTAGCTCGGTAATATCAATTTCTTTCGGGTGATCAATATCCAATCAAAAAGGCGGAAACATCTGGAAGGGTAATATCGCAACCATCGCATTTCTTTAAAGACAAGACGAAAAGGCAATAATTACATAGGTTGTGTTGTCGCTAACGATAACGTAACGCGCAAAGCGTAACAAGCCACTATAAATACTGGACACGATCTTATCTTTATTGCAGTAATGTATGTAATTTGTTAAATAACTTCGGGGCCAGAAGTATAAGAAACAAAAATGAACTTACTAGCGATGTAAGCAAAACCAGTTTAGCTGTATGGAAAATAAACCATATTATATGAAAAGTGCTTAATTTCAATTTGCCATTTTGTAATTTCATTGGTGGGTACACGCACAATCGAAAGACGAATGCCAATTTGTAACTGAATGAGTCTGAAATTATAACACTAGATATATTTTATGATCTACTAGCAATCACTAGCTGCATACATGCATGGCATATTATTAAACATGTTTTTTTATACATGAGCGGCATCAGCTGCCTACATGGAATAAAAAAATAAACTTCATTAAGTAGCAAATCAAAAAAAGATATATATACATGTACATAATGAAAATCTCTAAATACTGCAACAGTATGTAATTAGTATGTACATTAACCACGCCTCTTAACACCGGTTTAAGTACTTTTAGTCTTCAGCATGAACAATTTTTCACTTAGAGCATCTTACTATCTAGAAGTGAAGACATTATTAAAGCTGCCTGCCTCCTGATCAGTCACATGTCAAATTTTAGGAGAAATGATTCAATATTCAAGAAATAATTGATATATAATAGGTGGTTAATGTCAGATTTTGTAGTATTTATCACCATCTTATTACTGTATCACTTACGCAGTGATGACTACTTTGCACATTTTGACCTAATTTTGGTAATTAACGTGAATTGTAAGTTCCGTTTGCTAAGTAAAAATTACTTTCTCTGTTCACTTCTCAGTCATTTTTTGCCAAATACATTATCAAGAGGCATGTTTCTTTAAAACATTCAATTATGTTACACACTTATGTTTTCCATTTTTCAAGTACATATACAAGAACAAACGTACATACCTGGTTCTGTCGTCGGTCCATCCTGTAAAATAAAATTTCTTTGTTTCTGTATTTTATGTCAGTATTCGTCTATACGAGCAATGTAAATAATCATGTGAATTATTTTACTCAACTTGATACTAAAAAGACAAAATAAACGAATGCTATGACGTTACACAGATCTGAACGGTACCGAGTTCACTTATTTATTGATGTCCAACAGCTAGATGTCGACAAAGATTTTAAAACTGTTAAACTTCTAAACCAATCAGAAACAGACATTGACATGCACTAATTCGAAATGTCTTACAGATTTTGTTTCATTTGCTGATAAAGTTGATTGACTGCCAGGGCTCTCTGCGAAAGGCTGCTGTCCAACATCTGAAATTTTAAAATAATTCAACTACATATTTTACTTTTTTTAAAAATAGGAAAATTCAAAAAGAGTGTCTGTATCATTTCAAACGTCAATTTATTTACGAAGGTCAGAAAGGTTAATAATAAATTAGCTTTATCGTCTATAAATGAGATTTTATAAACTTAGTTTATTTATTATTCGAAAATAAAGAAAGAAAGTGATGTTTTAGGATAACAGTAGCATTGGTGCCAGGTAAAATATATATTATGGAATTATAAATGACTACGAAGCATAATTGCTGTGCAAAAGAAAATATGTCTAAAACACATTTTAAATATATACGCTCTACTTACCCGATTGGAATTGTTGGATGTTCCTAAAATATCAAGAAGTCACACTCTGAAACTTTATCATCAGAAGATTGATTTAAAGATAGATAACATTCATATAATCACACTCTTTATTTTTAGATAGATTCTCAATGTTTGTACAATGTATCGGCTAAACAGCAGCTAGCTGTTGACATAGGTTTTAAAACCGTAAAACTGCTTCTAAACCAATCAGAAAAAAGAATGGCATGCAGATATTAAAATGTCTTACAGATATGGTTCTATCCGCTGTTGAAGCTGATCTCTCTGCAAAAGGTTGCTGTCCAACATCTAAAATATTTAAAATATTTCAACAACATATTTCACTTTTTTAAATAGGAAAATTCAAACAGAGTGGCTGGATCATCATAAACTTCAATATATTTATGAAGGTCAGAAAGGTTAATATTAAATTAGATTTACCGTCTGAAGAGAGATTTTATAATCTAAAGGTCCTGTCACTCATTTTTTATGGTTTTATAGACCCTTTCATTTACAACCGGATTCATGACGTCATTTGGGGATACGGTGGACATTGCTGATACGATTAAGTTCATTAATAAAGGGATATAAAGATCTGAATCCTTCTTACTAGATGGCTTAATTTTGTGTTATTGAATAAAATGTTACATAAATAGAATGACCAAATGAATAAAAATGTTTACCATAATAAGTCAACGAATTCATTCAAATATTTAAAATATATAACCCTATTTCAATACTTAATCATGGCTGGGTACCGTTTTCGTTTGATTAATAATGAAAATTATTACACCATGTTTTACCAGGCAGCTAAATCGTACTTACTTCATGTACATAGTACCCTAAAGGTATTTTGAGTTTAAAAAATGTAACTTAGTATAATGCAGTTTCGAAAAACGGCTGCGTAATAATTAATTGCAAGATACTGGTTGAATAAATATTACATTTCTGAAACAAAAATAAATTAATAATATAAATCTATGTAATTTCAAAAAAAAATTAAAGCATAAAAATAACAATTCTTTTGAATGTACAAAATAAGTTACTGGAAAATGTTCTCTTTTTTTCATAATGATAGGAATAGATTAGTATTGTAAAAAATTGTCTGATTTTCGTCTGTTGCGAATCTTACGTTATAAAAGTCATTGCAACATCGTTTTCGTTCTTTCGGGAATGTTTATGAAATTATATCCTTCACTTGTTCGTTCTTTGAACGATTTTTCATATTGCAAAATGAAAAGGAATCAATAAGTCTTGACAGAATGCATTCTACTACTACAATCATTCAGAAACATTGACAATCTTATTTTCATGTTTGTCATAAAAACAAACGCCGAAATTTTCTTTATGATAGAAATCACACAGGAAATGATCATTTAAATTTATATTAGGTAATTCAGTGTCGCATGGGTGTTCATAAAATGTTAGAAAACTAGCTTTTTGCAGAGAAAATCTAATACATTTCACTTCGCTTTGAAATTCCACTGTTTTACACCACAGCAAGAATTAATCTAAATCTTTTTTTATGTATTTTCTATTGTCTTGATATAAAATTTATGTATGCATAAGTCAATTTTTTCATGTTGTAATCATAACTGAACGATCAGTATTTATTAGACTTTCAATAAGCTAACATTATACGCGGTCTGCTGTATAGTATAATTCCCGTTTTATGTCATATTTGGTAAGGGAAGTAACTCTTCCTCGACGCTTATCGCTTAAATGAAAGGGTCTATATCATTAATATAATGCTCAAATGAAGATAGATCAATATTGTAAGATCCAAAAAGCATTATTTGTAAAGATATGACCGAATTTTTCATTTCATGTAAATAAAAGGGAGGTACTTGTAATTAGAAGTTTATTTTCTATAAAGTCTACGTCAATTTTTGCAATAACAAATGAATGCATATATTTAAATGATTGCAAATAATGTAGACATATATTTGCAATACATATTTAACATATTCTTCAATGTTTAAAAATTGTTTTAGAAACATAATTATATACATATATAAAATTTCACAAAAGTGTGGTGGGGCGCCCGTGGCCGAGTGGTTAAGGTCGTTTACTTCAAACCACTTGCCCCTCGCCGCTGTGGGTTCGAATCCCGACAGAGACTTTGGATTCTTTCATGTAAGGAAGCTATCCAGCTAGCTTACGGAACGTCGGTGGTTCTACTCAGGTACCCGTTCGTGCCTGAAATAATGCACGGAAAGGCACCTGAGGTCTTCCTCCACCAGTAAAGCTGGAACGTCGCGATATGACCTTTACTGTGTCGATGTGACGTAAAACCCAAAACAAACAAAACAAAAGTGTGGTAACAACCCTAATTACAGTATTAAAGATCCTGTATGTTGTAATTTAGATTGTTGATACTTTACCATCAGAATGGTCAGATTTATTAACAAAAATATTCTATTCCTATAATCGCACTGCCCTTAGTCTAAAAAAAAACTTACATAAATTTATATCAATCGTACACCTTGTTAATGGCATACATTAAGTGCGTTTCGAAGATATGTATATGTGTCTGTCTTCAAATAATATAGTGTTTTCATTTCAGATGTGTGCTGCTAGTTTTAAATCGAAACATTGCGTCAAAAAATATCTGAAATTCATGCCTAGTCGTGATTTCCGAGGCATACCACAATGTCACATGTTTTATTCTTTAAAAAGATTCTAAACGGTTTTAATATTTTATCGGAAGCTAAACGGCAGCTAACTGTTGGCATAGGGTTTAGAACTGTTAAACTTCTTTTTAACCAATTAGAAACAGACAATGACATGCACTTATTGGAAATGTCTTACAGATGTAGGTCCATTCACTGATGATGCGGATTGACTTTCAGAGCTCCCAGCCAAAGACTGATGTCCAAAATCTGAAATTTTAATTCAACTACATATTTTAACCTTTTGAAAAAATAGGAAATTTCAAAAAGAGTTTCCAGATCGTTTCAAATATCCATTTATCAACGAAGATTAGAGAGGTTTATATTAAATTAGATTTATCGTCTGAAATGAGATTTTATAAACTAAGTTTATAAATATTCGAAAATTAGGAAATCAAGTGATGTGCTTGGATAACATAGCATTGGAGTCAGGTAAAATATATATTATGGAGTCGTGAATGACTACGTTGTGTGATTGCTGTGCAAAAGAAATTATGTGAAACTCATTTTAAAGATATGTGCTCTACTTACCCTTTTGAGTTGTTGGATTTGCCTATAATATTAAAAAGTCATATTTTTAAACTTTATCTTCACAATGCTAATGTTTTTATTAAAAAACAGAGATTTTATTCTTATAATCATATTATCTGAGTCTTAAAACATAGACAAATTCATATCAAAGGTATACCTTGTTAATGACATAATTATATTAAGTGCGTTTTGAAGATATGTATATGTGTCTGTCTTCAAATAATATAGTGTTTTCATTTCAGATATTTGCTAGTTTTTTTAATCAAAATATCGCGTTCAAAAATATCTGAAAGTCATGCCTAGTTGTGATATCCGAGACATAAAACAATGTCACATGTTTATTCTTTAAATAAATTCTAATTGCTTTTAACAAATTTATCGGCAGCAAAACGACAGCTAGCTATGGACATAGGTTTTAAAACTGTTTAACTGCGTAAAAACAATCAGAAACAAACAATGACATGCACTAATTGGAAATGTCTTACAGATATTGTTCCAGTTGCTGATGAAGCTGATTGACTTTCAGAGCTCTCTGTCACAGGCGGTTGTCCAAAATCTGAAATTTTAATTCAACTACATATTACTTGTTACAAAAAATAAGACATATAAAAAAAGAATGTCCTGATCATTTCACAATTCAATTTATTAAAGAAGATCAAAAAACGTTAATGTTACATTCGATTTATCGTTCGAAAAGAGATTTTATAATCTAATTTTATTTTTATTTGAAAATTAAGAAATTAAGTGATATTTTAGGATAACAGTAGCATTGGAGCCAGGTAAAAAATATATTTTGGAATCGTGAATGACTACGTTGTGTGATTGCTGTGCAAAAGAAATTATGTGAAACTCATGTTAATGATATGTACTCTACCCGTTTGAATCGTTGGATTTGCCTGTAATATTAAAAAGTCATATTTTTAAACTTTATCATCAGAATGGTAAGGTTAAATTAAAAAAAATAGATTTTCTTCTTATAATAACACTTTCCTAAGTCTCAAAAATAACGAACATAAATTTATATCAATTAATACCTTGTTAATGACAAAATTGTATTAAGTGCGTTTCGAAGATATGTATATGTGTCTGTCTTCAAATATTATAGTGTTTTCATTTCAGATATTTTAAAAATGTTTAACTGCTTCTAAGCCAATCAGAAACAAACAATGACATGCACTAATTGGAAATGACTTACAGATATTGTTCCGGTTGCTGATGAAGCTGATTGACTTTCAGAGTTCTCTGTCAAAGACTGTTCTCCAAAAACTGAAATTTTAGAACAATCATCTACATATTTTACTGTTTAGAAAATTGTAAAATTCAAAAAGAGTGTTTAAATCATTTCAAAATTCAATTTATTTACGAAGATCAGAAAGTGTGATGTTACATTAGATTTATCGTTTGAAAAGAGATTTTATAAACTAAGTTTATTAATCCATTACATCATAAAGACGTCTTCAAATAGTGAATAAAATGCCCTATATAGACGTCAAATACTTGTTTTCGTTTGAGAAATGGTGTTAAAAAGTGATCACTTTTTCGGCGCCATTCCCTATCAAATAGATTCATCAAGAGGTGCCACAGGGGGGTGTGCCCCCTTCTGTTAAGGGGGTTGAAGGGGGTCGCAGACCTCCTCATCTCCAAGAAAATTTTGGACTTGTGAGAGACTGAAAATGGCCCACGGTCAACCTTAAGGTAACGTGTAACCAACGCTGAAAAGCCATTGACTCTAGATCTATCTCAATCCATTGAGAAGTTGCAACACTGGAAAAATCAACGCAAAATAGTGATTTTCGGCAATTTTGAGATGTCTCCTCGTTGCCATGGTTACAGAAAATTTAATAGTATTGTGTATGCAGTTACAAAGGCTATGATCAAATCAACATTTGTGCCAAGTTTGAACAGTATTGAACCCTTTTTTATAGTTTTATAGCAGTTAGAACTTGTAAAAGGAGAATTTTCAATGAGAACAGCCATTGTTCCACAATTTGCTTATGATGATGTAATGGGTTAATATTCGAAAATTAAGAAATTAAGTGATGTTCTGAGATAACAGTAGCAATGGTGCCAGGCAAAATATATATTATGGATGATTGAATTCGTGAATGACTAAGTGCTAAAGAAATCATGTGAACCACATTTTATAGATATGTGCTTTACTTACCTGTTTGAATTGTTGGACTTGCCTATAATGTTAAAAAGTCATATTTTGAAACTTTATTATAAGAATGATAAGATTTATTAAAGATTGATTTTATTCTTATGATCACACTGCCCTAAGTCTGAAACAAAAAGAACACAAATTTATATCAATGGTATATCTGGTTATTGACATATATTAAGTGCGTTTCGAAGACATGTATATCTGTCTGTCTTCAAATATTATAGTGTTTTCGTTTTAGATATGTGCTACTGTTAGAATCGAAATATCGCGTCCGAAGAATACCTCATAAGTTCATGCTTAGTCGAGATTTCCGACACATACCACAATGTCACATGTTTTTCATTCTTTAAATAGATTCTAATTAATTTTAACAAAATATCGTCAATATATTTTAACATAGATAAGATCTAAAAAATCATTTAGCATTATCGTCATAGTAAATCTATTTTTAGACTTGGTCATAATTTATTTTATTTGATTAAGATGCTGTCAATTAAAGAAAGATCAGCCTTTTTATTCTCGATTAAAATAGTCTATACAATATTCTATACAAATGTACGATTCAAATTTACGTTCAACAGTTTATTACATATTCTCAAGTTTGATGTCAAATACAAATATTATATGCAAATATGCTTAAAATTTTAAAAAAGATCAAAAGGAAAAGGGGGGCGTTTTAATGAACGCAAAACCCCCTTGGGCCGGCAATTTCTCTTTTTAAGTTTGTCAAAAATTCCTTCAAATTTTTTAATTTAAAAAATTTTTGTTCCGTTAGAAAACCTCTTGTTTAAATTAAATGGGGAAGTTGCCCTTTTTCCTTAGGGTTGGGTTTAAAGTTCAATAAATTTCCCTTTCAATAGGGACAAGTAAAAAGTGTGATTTTTCTCCGTCTGTTTTTTCAAAGTGGTAAAGACTGACAAATAACTGACAGGTTTTAAATCGGGCGATATCCGCCTCCCCGTATTTGGTTGGGCTTTTTCCAAAAATGAAAAAGTATTTCCCCAAATGAAAAATGTTTTGGATTGTTGAATTGGAGGTTTCGGAAAAAAAAATTTTAAATTGTTAAAGCTATGCTTTGTCGATACTCAAGTCTGCCATTCATCACTTACTATCATCAAATAACCGACTCAATCATACAGTGCCTTTAAAATTTTCGTTTTGACCATGTTGGACTGAAGTGTTTGGAGGTTATGATTGAAAAATTATTGAAAATATACAATGTAAATTTCATCGAAAGGTTATTAAAATAGTGTTCGAGAAACGGGAGTTTTATTTATGTGTTTTATGGAGTATCCCATAGAAATTGATCGCAATACACAGTGACTGTAAAATTATTGTGTAAGATTATTGAATTAAAGTACTTCAGACATTTAATAATTCTGTTCTTATAAATATACACAATATGCTTATAGAGGATTCTGATATAAAAAACAAACTATGTTTCAGCGAACACACATGGCTTGTAAAATAAAAATCAAGGGAATATCTTATTTTGGTTTTTCAACAAAATTATATAATAAATATTATAGGGTTATTACATATTGTTACATACAAAACTGAATTATTCTGACAGTTAAACCGTTGTCAAAAGCCTATATTATACGAGGCGTGAACCTAGCCCTACTATATGTTTTCAGTTAATGTACCAGTGCTTTAGTGTTTTATTCTCGCTTGGATAAAAAAGGGAAACCACTCATACCATTGTTATTTATATTGTTCGATAAATAATATAAGTTTGTATCATTTTTTTTATCGAAACTTACAAAAATAAGAACATAAATTTATATTATATGTAATTGTAACTACATTGTATTTGGCAAAAAAACTTGGATAATATATTTGCAAAAAAAAAGCTTAGTTATTCTATAAATACAATTTTTCCAAAAATTTTATTTTGTATAAAATTTTTTACATTTCTGGGTTAAAAATGATTACATGAAAAAAACTGTCCCGAAATTTTAAAAAAGGTTTTCTTTCCTTGGGAAAAATTTTCTGGCTTTAAAAAATAAAAAATACCCCTTCCCTATGTTAAAATTTTTTCTTAAATTTTGTTGAAATTTGGGGAAAAAAAAGAATCCCCAAAAAAGTCCAAAAACCCAAAATAATTTTTAAAAAGTTTGCGCTTTTGTTTTTATTTAGCCTGTTCCTTTTTGGCCCGGTTTTTGGGAAAAAATTTTTCCCAAATTTACCCGTCCATCCCCCCAGCACCGGCTTGAGAATTTAAATTTAAAAATAAAATTGGGAAAATTTTGTTAAAAATCGAAAATGTGCTCGTACCCGGGGGTTAATCATGGAAACTTAAAATGGCCCCTTCTTTTGCCCCTTTTCCCTGAAAAACCGCGGGAAAGGTTTTCCCCAAATTATAGAAAGCGTGTGCCCTAAACGAGAAAACAACGAGCGGAACTAAAAATCAGAATACAGCTTTTTGTTATTTTGCCTCAACTATAGACAATTTTAAGCAAAATTAATTATCGCTTTGCATGTTTGAATAAAGTTTGTAAAAACATAATACTAGTCGTAATACTCGCTCAAATTCTTTTTTTTTATTAAAAATGTAAGCATTGTTAATTATTCACTCTTACTAACATTTTTGATTAGTAATGTCAAACAATAACAGTACCTCTTAAATACACGTTATATACTATGCTTATTATTTTACATGCGTATTTTAATCTTAGTGAAATTAAATTCCAAGCCCCTCGTCTCAAATGCATAAATCCGCAATAAGGTTTTTCGCGAAATCAAGCTCACACGAGTAATATAATAATATACGTACGATGAATGCATGTACATATAACAATGTAGATAAAGCGTGCTGAAGATTTCCCCCTTGACACTTACATGTATAATCCTATAATCCACTTATTAATAGATAAAATTTAGATAAAAGTGTCTGCAGATAAAATCTTTCTGAAAATTCGCTTTATCTTCAAAATCGAAATATGTATATTATTCAACAACGCATTTTGGTTAAGCCATCCAGTCAGCTTATCGGCACATTATAAACGTTAAACAAGAAAAAAAAAAATGTCTATCTTCTTAAACATATTATGATAACTAAATGTACGGTTTTATGATATTGTAAAACTACAGAGAAAAAATTTTAGACTTTTCAACCCAAGGAGTTTGCCCAACGGTCTTGTTTTCAATTTCAAGTCGTAAGTGGGTTTCAGTCAGAATTTGGGGATGCATAAATAAGTCAGAATGCAGCCAGGTCATTGTGACAAAAATACAAGATTACTCTTACTTTAAGTCAAAAAGAGAAATAATATAACAATTTGATTAAATGGGGCAAATTTTAAATTAGCTATAATACAAAATAAAATTAAAAAACGGGTTGGGGGTTAAATCTGCAAAAAAACGATAATTTTTACGGTTTGGTTTTAAGTAGTAAAATATCAGACTTTTTTTTAAAAAAAATTCGGGGGTAAAATTCCGCCGAGGTTTTTTAAATATAGGTTTTCAGTTCTATTGGGTGTTGTTTTGTAAAAAAAAGCTAAAGAATCAAGAGCGGTTTCAAAAAAGGCGACTGTAACCCTTTTTTTACAAAAAGGGGAAATCCAAAAAATGCACTTAACCCGGCTTTTGTGTCCGTTTTTAATTTATTGAAAAATTTTTTTATGAAGATTTTTAAAACCCAAAATTTAAAAAAACCTGTTCGGTGTTTGCTTAAAAAAAAAGGCCCAAACCTTTTAAAGGGTGATAATTGTACCTCTTTTTTAAGCTCTCCAATTCATTTTGATAAAACATTATATATTAATCGTCCTCGGTGTTTATGTGTAATTTATGATAAAATATATTTGAGTTTAATTTAAGTCTGTTCGTGATTTTGTCCTTTAGAGTAAAACGCTGTAATTTTTCAAGATACAAAAAAGCTTGCTTTAAAAGATAACAGAAAGGTAAAGTAATTTTTTAAAGCAATATTTCAAGTGTAAAAATAATCATTACATTGAATGTAAATAGAATTTTGATTATTTTATTAAAACAGTGCGAATTGGCATTGGCATAGTTTTTCACTGATCTATGTTATTTGTACACGTGCTTTCAAACAATGCAAGATAAATCTAAAACGGACCTTCCCTGTTCTTAAAATACTATAACCAAAATATTCTTACAAATTTAGATTTGGAAATATAAAATTAATTACTTACAGAATGCCTTACGCCACTAGTGATATAACCTACTGTTTGAAATAATAATCCTTAATATTTACTTGGTATATCTCAAAAGATTTCGGTATACTAGCCATTTATCTTCATTGATAATATCATAGTCGTGT